TGAGATTCCCTTCTTCTCACTCTTGAGAAATAATTGTGGTGAGAAAGAAAACACTACTTTTGCCTTTTTGGCAAGAAATTATCTCTTTAATTCCTAGGCAGATTTCTTCAGGACCAGTGTTGTAGCTGTCTTCCCAATTGAGAAAAGACTATGCAGAATTTCCATGTAACCTATTGAATCCCTTGTGGCTATGTGATGTGAAGACCTCATTTTCCGCCTCCTTTGTGCCCTGCTAGCTCAGCTTTGCAGAGGTTAAACTTGGAGCTGTCACAGCCTCATTGCATTTTGTGGTAACCTGTGGGCAAATGTGAATAGATGAGTAGTTCTGTGTTCCCAGTTTGTGAACGACAGAGTCAGCTGCGCTTCTTCCACCTAACAGCAGATAGAGAGACTGGAGATGGAGATGGAAGAGATAGCGACTGGAACCTTCAGCGATGGGCTTCAAGCAAAGCTGGTATGGAAATGAGAAGACTTTGTGATAAGTGTGAAACTTGAAAGCATTGCTGACCAGAGCCCAGAGTCTGTGGTTGGCCAGACAGGAGTTAGTTAAACATTAAAAAGTTTTTTCTTATAGGCAGGAAAGGAAAAATTTATAGCTTATAATCAACCTATGAAAAATGTAGTTCGTGATGTTTCTTTCCTGTCTGAGATTTTGGAAGGCTCCCATTCCTATCTGTCTCTAGGTCTTTTGAGTATGGGGAGTTTCTTCTCAAGGACTGCTAATGTAAAGCTACTGCAAGATATGGGCAGTTCTCCAGCTCTAGAAAACTTCACTCCGTGACACTCCAATTAAACAGGCGACAGGAGGTCAGTAGGGCACAGTGTACCTTTTTTTTTTCTTTCCTATGTCCCCTCTTGACTGAAATGATTTTGCTGGCAGAAATCAGTGTCTGTAACAGTCATGAACTCCTTACCTTGCACTGGGAGACTGGGTCTGTCTAAAGTCTGTTTATTCTTCAGCTTATGAAAGTGGCTGTCAACCAAGCCTCTGGAAACTGAGCTTAGTTTAAAAAGGGTGTGAACAATATTAGTACAGGAATGTATCCTGTGGAGAGGCTTCTTCTTCCAAATCATTGCTGAACTGGTAAATGCTCATAAGAAAAGTTCAGCATAGTTTTTGGTGGTGGAGCCAGTAGACATGACAGTGAGTTTGGATGTGGGTGGGGAAAGGGAGAAGAGAGCATGAGAAAATACACGATTAGGGCATGGAGTGAGGTACAGCGTTCCCCTGCCTGTGGTGGAAAAGAAATGATAATACTATGGACATGGAACAGTGGTGTTTGCGACTGTAAGTGCTGCTGTGATGCAGTGTTCTGGGTATGTGCAGGGCTAGAGAGGAGGAGGATTAAAAATGTGAGGAGATGAGAGGGTGGAGCAAGGGCTTGGAAGCATCGCTGCAGCCGTCTGCCTGTTGTGGCCTTTCTCGGCCTTGGGATGTGGAGCTGGGCTGGTGCTGACAGCGTGGTGACCCCACGCTGGTGGTGGAGCATTGGCTGTCGTGTGACACCTGTCCTGACTGAGAAAAATGGTCCTGAAGCTCCAGATAAAAAGTGTGGGCACCATTGGCCTAAAATACGAAGGCCTTACTTGTTGCATGTATGGCGGAAGCTTGTCTGAGCAAAGTTGTGAAAACTTGGCCCACAGTGGTTTTCAAATGTGAAGAGAGTCTTCCAAGCTAAGCAGTCTGTGTTCCAGGTTTGCATTGAAACCTGAAATCCAGATTGGGTTTGCATGTTAATTTTTGGTGTGAATATTTTTGCAGCTCTAAAATTGTAATTCCAGAGTTTCTTCTGTCAGGAAGCCAAACAGTATTATTGACAGATTTCCAAATACTCTAATTAGAAGTTCAAATTTCCACAATATCAGTGAAAGAAACAGAAGAAACAACAGACTAAAATGGATAGGACTTGTAAATTAATATCTGCATGGGATTAAAAGTTAATTGAGTTTTGAGGAAAAAACAATATGGTTAAGATGAGATAAATGAGAACAGAAGAAACTGTCTTTAACCTTTCTTAACTACTGGTTTATTTTGAGTGCCACTGAGCAGCTGAGTTCACCAGATATTGTGTTCCCCACTTGTAGCATAAATTGTAAGTCTTATTTTCTTACAAAATCAGATTGAAATAATGAAAAATCCCTGCTCAGTCAGGAATTAAAGAAATTCCCACAAACATACATTTGTGCAATATCTAAGTGCCAATCTAATAGATAGGTGTTGATTAAAACCTGCGTAAACCAGGAAAAGTAGATAACCAGATCATTTCCCTCTGTTTCAGGAGGTGCAGAAGCCACGTCAGTTCATCAGCTTTTGTTTTCCTTTGTCCCTCTCAGTCTATAGAAGAGTTTTCTCTGCAACTGGCGTGGTTTTTAGCTGTGTGGGTCTAAGAAAGTCCAGGATAACTTTCTTGAATGAGATCCAGTGCTCCCATAACCCCTTAACCATCCTTTTCTTGTACCACCAGCATGACCAAGCTACTTTCTTGCATGGTGTAGTTTGGCAGCCCCGCCTTGTCTTTGGGTTAAGGTTGAAATCCAGATAAAATTTCGTTGCGCATTCCATCCTAAGATTGGCAAGACCAATCTGTTTTCTGGGTTCAGCTATCTTCTAGCCTGATACTGGACACTGGCGGCGTAGTGCTGACTGTGATGCATGTGTCATGGTTAGGGTTTTATCTTCACAGATGAGGCAATCGCACTGTGTGTACTCATGGGGGTTAGGTTCAGGCTTAGACTCCTTTTTTCACAGAACCCAAGGTTTTGTGAACAGGCAGTATTTCTACTAAGTTGGCAGAGAATGAGTAATACGGTGTGGAGGGATATGTGATTCCAGATTTGTCCCCAGACTTGGCAGCCGTGATTGATGGGAGGAAGGGCACCAAAGGAAGCGTTTGATTTAGCACTTCCACGGGGAAGCTGCTACCCTGACAGAGCCACAAATACCTTGTTTCCTCCTTGCTATTTTCCCACATCCCAGGGAATGGTAATGGAACATCATTGGAGCCTCACTGGTCAACAGCTTTTCCCACTAGCACAAGTGGGAATCGAGAAATTATGTTTAGTTTTGATTGTGTGCATGATGTCTGGTAGTTATTCAAACACCGTCACGGTACGGCCAAGCAGAGATACTTCAACTGATTAAACAAAGCCTAACTCCAAGGTAATTCGCAAGTCTTGCTTTGCTAGCTTGACAGTGCAATACAAGGAAGGTGGATTATGATGAATGCCTGTAATAGGAAATTATTTGGTCTTATCCAAGTTGTTGGCTTTATATACTTGGGAGAGGGCTATTTCTATTAATATTGATTGCAATGGATGCTGGAGCAGTGCAAGGAACACCAGCAGCAGTGGTGGGACACATGAGGAGAGGCCCATGTGGATAAGAGGCTTGTCTGAACATGGGGTGCTCCCTGAGCCACTGACCCCGGACCTGCTGACTGGACGGGACAGCAAGACACGAAGCCTGCACCTGGCACTGGGCAAATTTAAGCCGGTGAAAGCAATCAGCTCAGCTGATTGCAGCAGATATCAGAACATATATATTTCACAGTGAGCAGGTACGTGGCAGCAAGGTGACCACCAAGCTAAAAGCAGCATCCCCTCCTTCTCCTGAGCTTCTAGCACCTGGGAGGTCCAAAGCAGCCACACAGACAGAGCTCCTGTTTGGACATGCAGCCACCCAGGTGTCTGGCTGTGGTATGTGTGAAAGGATATTCCTAGAGGTGGAAAATATGGATGCTCTGGATGCAGGAGTTGGCTGCACCGTTAGCAGGTTTGCTGATGATACCAAACTGGGAGGTGCTGTTGGCTCTCTTGAGGGACCAGAGACCTTGTAGAGGGATCTGGATAGATGGGATCATTGGGCAATGATTAATTTAACAAATCAAAATGCTGGATTCTGCACGTAGGACAGAGTAATGCCAGGCACAATTATAAACTGGGAGAGGAGTGGCTGGAGAGCAGCCCTGCAGAAAGGGACCTGGAGGACCTGGTAGGCAGCAGCTTAATGTGAGCCTGCAGTGTGCTCTGGTAGCCCAGAGTACAAACCGTGTCCTGCGGTCCATCACACCCAGCAGCCCCAGCCGGTCAAGAGAGAGGATTGTCCAGTGTTCAGTGTTGGTGTGGCCTCACATGCAGCGCTGTGTGCAACGCTGGGCTCCACCATGTGAGAAGGATGTGAAGGGCCTTGAATGTGGCTGGAGGAGGGCAGCCAAGTTGGTGTCAGGGCTGGAAGGCATGTCCCGTGAGGAGTGGCTGAGGGCTCTGGGTTTGCCTGGTTTGGCGAGAAGGAGGCTGAGGGGCGACTTCCTTGCTCTCTGCAGCTACTGGAGGAGGGGATGTGGAGAGGGACGTGCTGAGCTCTTCTCCCTGGTACCCGGTGACAGGACCTGTGGGAATGGTTCAAAGCTGCACCAGGGAAGGTTCAGACTGGACGTTGGGAAGCATTTCCTTACCGAGAGGGTGGTCAAGCACTGGAACAGGCTTCCTAGAGAGGTACTCAGTGCCCCAAGCCTGTCTGTGTTTAAGAGGCGTTTGGACAATGCCCTTAACAACAGGCTTCAAGTTTTGGTCAGTCCTTGAAGGGCTCAGGCTTGGACCAGATGGTCGTTATAGGTCCCTTCCAACTGAAAGAGTCTACTCTGTTCTGTTCTCTTAATTGCTTTATCTATCATTATTTGATATCCTGAATTTAATAGAAGTGTTTCAATATAGCTTTGATGGATTTGATTCTTCAGTAGTTTGCATTTGGGGGCTATAATTCAATCTATTTGTAGGAGTGCAAATCAGGAGCAACTTCACTGAAGTTCCTGGCAAAATCTGAGTGATATCTTAATAACATTCCATGCATAAAAAGAACAAATTAAATTCTTTGCTCAAAAAAGTCGTCTGTGGGGTATGAATGTCTCAGTGGTTTTATTGTTGCATTGAATACAGAGACATACGACTGCATCAGTAGGCAGTGTATACAACCAGTGTGTTCTCTGTTTATTTCCTCTTAGTGCAGTAGCATCAATCTTACGGGCCTGGCTTGATCAGTGCTCTGAGGATTTCCACGAGACTCCCGACTACATGTGCTTGCAGAAGGTGCTGGATTACCTGAAGAAGAACATACCCGGCTCTGACCCGGAGAGGAGGGCACAGAACCTCCTGGAGCAGCTCCAGACCCAAGAAGTGGAATTGGACAGTAAGTTAACTTTCCTTTCTGTCTTTCTGTTCTCCCAGACAGTACCACAGGGATTTATGTGGAGTACGCTTCATGAGCTTTTATGCTAATTGACAATATTGTGAGGTTCACCAGTGACTTTCTTTTTGGGTGGTTTTTTTTGCTGCTTTGTTGTTTTTTTTTTTTAAAAAAAAAAACAAACCCAAACCTCTGTATGAGGCTGCAGGTTCTGTGTGGGATGAAATAGTTGTACAGCGCAGGTGCCTATTCCTGTTCATTCTGGGGTAAGTTGGGAAATCAAACACTTCTCCAATATTTAGCCAAAACTTTGACTTTCCTGCTGCAACTAAGGGGTTAATTGTCAGCACACTTCCCATGTCACTGAATGAAAACACACAGCTGCTTTTTAGCTGGTCTTTTCATTTCAACCTCCTTCCCTCTCAAGAAAGCCCAACAAAAAGCAAAATACAGAGCTGCAACAAAATACAGCTTGAGTTGCAAGGCTTGTTGTCGTGAAGCTTTTCTTCCTAGTTACCACCTTGTTAAAGGAAGTGGCTGTGGCTGTTTTTTCCTATTTGAGTGGCTGGCTGCTGGTATCCAAGGACAGAGGAAAAACTTACATTATTGGGGGTCACAATCTACTGAAACAATAGTGAACTGTAGTAACACAAATATGCTGTGTGCAGCGTCAAGCCTGACACATACCCTTATCCTGCTCAGAAAGCTTCCTGTGTCACGAGCCGAAAAGGCACAGGAGCTCATGTAGTGTGTGAATGAGAACTAGAATCAACTTCCAGCTTTGGGAGAGGAGTGAGTGGGAATAATTAATGGAATAGAGAATAAAGGAAATGACAGGAAAAAAATTATTTTATCCCATAAAAATAGTGTCTGCCAGATGTTCCAGAAATCCCGTGTCAATGCATAATGCTGTGAAATGCCAAATCAACTCGATCATTAGCACATACATAAAAAGAAGTACTGCCCCGAGGCTGGGCACTTTCCAGCCTGTTGAACACAGGTAAACGAACAGGATTGCTCCTGTGTGCCTATTGATGTCCTTCCTGGGGTTTGGTTCCCACAGGTCAAACAAAGCAGGCTCACTTGGAGCTATATTTGGGTTCATCTGTTGTCAAAGTGAGCAGAAGTTCCCAGCAGCCCTGCTGCTGCATTTATTTCCTCAAGGAACGGTTGAAAAGGATCTTTCCTGAGTTTTAGATGTTATGAGATAAATTATAACATTTTCCAAATTGTGGCAGAATAGAGGCTGTTAATTAGAATAAAGCAAGAGGAGAACACAGTTAATCCATGGGGTCTGCAGAGAAGAGTTTGAGAGTTGTTACTTACTTTATCAGAGTTCCATCTTTGTTCACTTGGGAGATTTCTTTCAAAACCCTTAATGTGCTGTCTGCAGCCAAGACTTGCTGATCATTATTATTCTAAGGCATTCTTATTGTGCTATTGATTTGGGTCCTAACTGTGCAATCCTGTGTAATCAGATGTCCCCTCAGTGCTGCCACCAGCCATGCCAGTAGATAAGTTTGCGGTACCAGCTACACAGATAAAAAGCTGTTCCCTTGGCTCGGTGCTTGCGGCTTGAGCAATCAAAAGCCAGGGGAGTCAGGGACTGCAAATTCTGTGTTTGCTCCTGGTGAAGTCAAGAGGGCAGCTAGGCTTTGAGAGAGCTAATCGGAGCAGGGTGATTTGAAGATGATGAGGTACTCAAGTACAAGAGGATTTCAGCGAGTAGGGAAAAGACTGGTTACACTTTTATGAACATGAGAGAGAAAGGAGAAAGAGAGGCAGGAAAAAAGAAAAGGAAAATCTTGGCTTGTACTGCAGGACCTGAGGTTTTGAGTAGGGCTGCAACTCAGTGATGAGGATTTTCAGTTGTATTTCAAGAGCTGAAAGGAAAATGAGGAGTTACATAGCCAATAAGAGAGAGAAAAATGTGTGACTCTTGTAGCAGTTAAGAAGAAGATCATTTAATTACGCGTATTGTTACAAAACAGCCATGAAAAAATAAGGCCTGAACAGACATCTCAGTTTATCGCATTTAGCTCTGTCAATATATTGTGAAATTGCAATGTAGAGATGGAAATCTTGTTATAGTTTGTAGTTATAATTTGTTACATCAAAACTGTAGCAGTTTACATTGATGATTAGGTTTTGCTAATTAAGGAAGAAAGGAAAAACAATGAACAATTTGGAAAACAAAGATGAAGTTTCCCTTCATCTGCTTTTGTCGCGTTAAGGGCTTTAATGGGATATGAAGTATTGCATAACATACTGTGAAATGCGCTACTTGGTTTTGTTAATGAAGTCTCACTGGCAGTAAACTCAGTACTTTTGTTGATAGTCTTCCACAAGTTGGTTTTTTTAATCTCCCTTTTAGAGTCACTGTCACCTTACAGTAAAAAGGATTAGAAAGAGGATTTACTGTCAGGGATCATTTGTTTGACTTCCTCCTCTACCACGGGAGCAAGGGCATATTTCTTTGTGTTTTAATGTGGCTTTGTTCCCAAGCTGTGGAAGCCAAGAGGTGGCATGGGAACATCAGTGAAGTCCCTTCCCGTCTCCATGGGATCGGGTCCCTGGATGAGGACAGCTCTCCACTGTTGCCCAGGGCAAATGTAGAAGCAGCATTCGGCTGAACGCTGTAGGTGCTCACTGTATTTCCTTTTCAGGGAAAAATGCCCAGAGAAGGAAGGTGAGGGATGCTGGAATAACCTCTCTTTAAAATAGTCCATGTAACCTTGGGAAGGCACAAATGGTGTCAAGAAAATATGGTATCTCCTTTTATTTTCACACATGGGAGATGAAATCTGGATATAAGAGCGTTCCTAATGCAGTGTTTTGGAGATGTAACTGCAGTCTTGTCCCTTTGCAGTTTGTTTTTGGGTTTTTTTCAGCTTATAAAATGCACAAATACTGAGAAGTAGATTAACAACATTCTGCAATGTTAATAAGGAATTTTTGTTGAGGGTAGGGGTGCTGTTTCATCTTTCAGAAGAATGGTTAACAAATGGGTTAAGCCCCTTCTTGGCTCAGAGACCCTGAACAGCTCAATTCTCTCTAACTCTTTTTCTTCCACCTTTTCTTTGACAATTTAATCTTCTGATTGTCGTCTTTCTTTCTAAAATATGCAGCACAGTGGGGCCATTACAGCAGGACCCTTTGGGCGTTCTGCCATAATGTATACAGTGATGTTTTAAAATAAAAAACCATCTGCTTTGATTCACTGTTTGTTGTATCGATTTACTGAGTTGTGTTTTCCCTCCTGGCTAGGTGGGCTGGATACCACTTTCCTCGGTCAGCTCTGTGAGGAAGGGGAACTGGCCATCAGCACTGCAGAAGAATTCTCTTTTTTTGAAGAAGTCCTTGTGGCAGAACAGTTGACATACATGGATGCGGTGGGTAGAGTATACGTACTACCTGCAGTGCTAGGGGAAATAGTGCAGGGCTTCTAAAATTTTCTTTTTAAAATTAGTATCATTATAAGTATGGTGTTCCAGAGCAGGTGTGTTGTTGGGATGCAGAGCACAGCTCTGCTTGGTTATCCAAACCTGCTTTGCTCATTTGACTTGTTCCTTCAGTCATTGTGAAGGTTTTGGGGTTTTGTTGGCTTGGTTTGGTTTGGTTTTGTTTGTTTGTTTGTTTGGGTTTTTGTTGGTTTTGTTTGGGTTTTTTGGGAGGGAGGTTTCTTGGGTTTTTGTTTGTTTGCTTTTATTTTTTAATGTGAATGTCTACAGTGTAGCCTTTTTTACAACGGTTAATATTTGATGCCTGAGAAATAGCACATTTTGACTAGATTGCTACCCAGCCTAAGGATGAATAGTCGCTCTTGACTGTAGTGCTCTGATTTGGTTTGTCTGTATCAATCTCCTTCAAAATATCCTTATATTAAAAATACTTCCCTTGGTTATGCAACTACTATAAAGGTGTCTCTTATGTTCCCTGGACTATTTTTCTGACAGTTCTTTTAAGGCATCAAGACTACAAAGAGTGCGCCAAAGTGTGCATTTGAAACGAAAGCAAGTATTTCTCATGTAATACCATATTAGATTTAGATCCAATTTGTACTGTACACATGCATTTTGTCTTGCCGATGATAAAGATCTCGGAGAATCCTGCTGACTTACGCACCTCAATTTCACTCTAGGAACTCTTCAAGAAAGTTGTGCCCTACCACTGCTTGGGATCCATCTGGTCCCAAAGAGATAAGGAAGAAAACAAGCACCTGGCACCTACCGTCAGAGCCACCATCTCTCAGTTCAATGCCGTTACCAAATGTGTTGTCGTCACTGTCCTGAAGAAAGAATGCAAAGCTCAGCAAAGGTCCAAGATCCTTGAGAAGTGGATCAATATTGCACATGTAAAGCATTTCTTCTAGACTGTTGAAGATTTCTCGTGCCGGTGCCTTGGAGTGAGGGAGTTGGGAGGGGAGATACGGGTTTTATGTGCTGGTTCCAGGCCACAGAACATCTTGGCTCTAATTCTTTCTATTTTTGACTGACTTTCTTTGTAATAGCAGATGAACTATTGCCCTTCCTCTCCTTTGTTCCTCATCCCCCATGGCAATGAGGTTGATGCTTGTCTTTTCAGAGGGTTTGGAGCAGTAATTAATGGGTGAGGCCAGTATGGTGTCTTGCAGATGGGGAGTGCCATGTATTTGATAATGTAACGTTTATGGTAAGATAGGTATAAATTCAACCAGTTCACTCCCCAAAGGTTAGACTTGTTTTCAGAGGCAAGTTTAGCAAGGATGGAGTAGGACTGGCAGAGGTTGCAGGCAGGAGGCATGGTCAGAATGAGCTTTGCACTTACCTGCCTTTGGCCATTCATGTTCGGTCAGTGAGCATCATGCTTCCTCTTCTGCATCTACAAACACCATGGGAGTTGAAATCAGATAGGGTAGAAGACAGCACAACTGTTTCTGTTTTCATACATATATAGATGATAGTAAGGTAAATACAAGGTTTTAAGTAAGTGCAGACAAAGCTAAATTACTTTCAGCAGATAGTAGCCTCTTTAACATGGAAAAATGAAATTGTTGTTTGTACGCTTTTGTTTGGAATAATTCTTGAAACTGCAAAGTCGTTCGCCTACTGAGTTATTCGCAGTTTATGTTAGGTATCCTAAACAGCTGGTTTGGAGGGGGTGAGAGGTGCAAGCAGTGACCAGAAAAAATAAGTAAAGCTACAGTATGATACCAGTCTCATAATCTTTCTTACCTTTCTGCTTTATCGTTGTCTCACGTTTCTTTAACACATTTTTACTCTTTGCGTCAATTCCTTTGTTTTGTAGCAGATTAGGTGTTTCTTAATCTCTGCATGAAAGGGCTTTGCATGCCTTCTTTACATAGCTCTAGTTCGCTGATTTCTTAGATTTTTATCTTTAATGTTTTACTGTCATCTTTTTAACTCCCCTTAAGAGCACAGGGCAGCTGGCACTAAACTAGATCTCTCTTTTGAAGACAACATAAAAGCACTTCCATATGGATGGGTATTGACTTTTAAGAATCACATGGACTCTTTCTGAGCAATACAAAATAAGCAGTCATAAAAAGCTCAAGCCCCACAGCAGCTTTCCAGCCTTGACAATGCACTTCTCTGCTTCCAGAAGGCAGCATTCTTAGTCCTGGCAACTGCACGGCCCAGGAAACTGGTATGGGGAAGCAGTCTTTCACCTCCCCTTTGGTGCTTAGGTTGGCTGGTTTTTGTTATCATCTGATGGCTGCTTTATAGCCCTTCTGAATGGATTAGGAAGTTTGGTGCCTATTTTCTGTGTGCAGGTCTTTACATTGCAGAGGGTACCAGCTACAGGGGCCCTTCTGAGACAGATTGATCTGTGAGCTGGCCAAGCACAGATGGAGCAGCTCTCTGCTCATTGTGGGGCTGGAGGGAGGCTCAGGGAAGCCAGGCCAGGCACCACGCTCAGCATGCTTGATGTGTGGATGGAGAACTATGTTCTCTACCTCTGTTGATTCAGTGCTTCTCCCTTTACTTAATTCAGACACATAATTAAATACTCCACTCTTAGCTAACCACATAAAAAATGCATGCGCATGCTCTACAAAATAATTGCACATGTAGAACAGCTAGTTGCATATATACTTAGCTGCCCACTTCTGAAGAAACCTGCTTGCTTTGCGCATGCAAATGAATGTTGTGAATAGTTAGATTCCTGAAATAGGAAATAAACCACTCATGAAAGTGCAGTTATTCACTGACAGCTAACTCTGTAGCTTAGCAGCGTGAAGTTTGTTTGTTATCTGGCTGTGACTTTTGCATCCTGTTTCTTGGTTTACAAGAGAAACTGAACGCTGCTTCTAACTGCCAGCCCTCTCTGCTCCACCTTGATCTAAGGTTCCTGTGCAGGAGCAGCCAACTTCACTTGCACAATATGTTCCTTAACAATAAAAAGTAAAAATGAAATCACTAATATCCTGTTATGCTTAAGTTTTTTAATCAAAGTTGCTGCTGCACAGGATTCTTTCTGGTTTTCCCCTTGTGAAGGACACAGCATGAAACAAAGTTATTCAAAGTAGTATTAAAAATTTTTCTTGTATACAGATGAAAGCTCACTAAAGTTTAGTCTGCAGTCAGTTAAGTCATTGAGAACACAAAATCCAGTATTGGATTCCTGATGTGCTTTCAATTATGCACCGTGTAGTGAAGTCAAGATGGTTCCCAATTGGATCTTTCAGTCCAAACTCCTGTTCTATTGGGGAAAAAAAAAGAAATACTAAGAATTTGTGCCTCTGAATCTATGTTCTCCCCAGCCTGAATTTCAAGTTGAACATAAGGATAGGAGGATCTCCTCCTCAAATGTGTCAGTCTCTGAAGAAGAGCTCTTATGTGGCTTCTTTGACCCCAAAGCATGCAAAGATAGCTTTCAGGTCTTGTATGTCCTATTAGACGATCTTGAACTTGGGCTTTACCTGGCCTGACTGCCAGCCTGCTTCAAGTGCTGTCTGCCCAGTCAGTCGTTTTAAGCCACACTTTGCTACATGGAGCCTCCTAAGTTGTACAAAGACTTCTTTTTTTTCCTTTTGGAAATAGATGGGAGTAAATGTCTTTCCTTCAGTTATTCAGTTAATGTTAATGCAACTCACTAACAGACTTGCTGATACATTAAGATCTGGCTTTTGTCTGTGCTAAGGTTGCTTTACATTTGTTCAGTCCTACAGAGGAAATAAGTTACGTCTATCCTCTCTGTGAGGAACCTTTACATAATCAGCATTATTAGTGTAATAATCAGCCCCATAAAATTTGCAGAAGCATAACTGTAGTTTGAATACCTTCTCATCTACACACAACAGGTAAATTAGCGTGTGTTTTGTCTGCTTAATTTGCATGTACAGACACCTGTTAGCAAGAGCTTGTATTTGTGAGTTTCTTAAGCCAGTGGTGCCAGTGCTCTGGTTCATGAGCCACCAACAGATTTTCAGGGGTTCCTTGAAGAGTCACAGGCCAGACTTTCCCCCTCCTCCTTGCTTCCATCTGCTTTACCAGGACCATGTGCTATTTTTTTGAGAACTAAGGATTTCAGTATCCTTTTCCATCAAAGCTTTTGTCACAGAAAAGCTGCACAAGAAATGTCTATGAACCAGTCTCTGTTAGGATTTGATTCCAACTCTGGAAAAGCTGGAAAAGTTTTTCTCTGTACTAGTGTGCAAATACCTGAATAACTGGTTATTCCTTTGCAGGTCTTTATTTATAATTGACACTTAGATGATTGAGGGTTTACATTTTAAATACCACATACAAAGAGGCAAAGCCTGGTTTTCCCCCTAAAGGGTAAATGGGTTTGGTAACTATAAAGAGCTTTTTAAGGAGTGTAACATTCATGCTTTTTAGCCTGGCTTTGTGGTCTCGGTTCCACTTTTATTTTTACTAAGAGAACTGGAAGCTGTACCACTATAACGTCACCTATGAAAGTGAGGAAAACAAGATTTAAAAGTGCCAAAGCCCATAAAGGGTTTGGTGGCTAGAGCGGGGAGTGATATTTTGATGCTTAATATTTGTGCAGCTGCCTGCTTAGCAGTGAGAATGTGTAGCAGGCGGGACACCAGTCAGACAGAAGAGCACTAATGTGTTTGTAATCCCGACATTTAATGCTCCTGTATTTCTAACTGCTCCTTTCACAGGAATGCAGGATCCTGAAGAATTTTTCCTCCTTGCGGGCCATCATCTCAGCTCTGCAGTCCAACCCCATCTATCGGCTGAAGAAGACCTGGATGTGCCTTCCAAAGTAAGCCTCGCCCTCCGCCTCTGCGGCTAGCCCCCCAGAAAAGCAAAAAGCTCAGTGCACTTTCCTTTCAGCTTGTTCTCAGTCTGCTCCTTTGTGGACATCTGTTTCTGTAGAAGAACCCCTCATTCTTGTGAGGCTCACACCCCTTTTTTGGGTGTGACTGCTGTGACCTTCTCTGTGATATTGAGGATACCTGCCCTCAGGGATACCAGATCTCTTCTGTCCTTCCTAGAATGCTGTACCTTCCACAGCCTATTTTGTAAAACTATGGGGCTAGCTCTGCTCTCGAAAGATCAGCAGAAGGGCACCATGACACTTGCCTGTTGTCTTCTCTCCACTGAAGTTAGAGGAGGTCCAGGTGTCTACAAACCCTCACTAATGCTCTCATGGTCCTGACATTTCCTTCAACTCTATCTCCAAGCTACAAAATCCAAATCTCTACTGGAGACAGTATTTCTTACAGGGGACTTGTGCGACTGATGTATTTACTGCATACCAAACAGACACCAGAAATCTCTGTGTAGGAAAGATGGTGTTTGGCTTATTCAGCTGGGGAAGAACAGATCTCTTTCCTTTGCCTTTGATAAACAAAGGCAAACGTCACTCTGCCACACAGTATACTTCTGCATTTCCCCTAGAGAGAGGTGGAGGTGGGCCTTTCCTTCTGCTGCCCGCTTCTCCTGTTCCTGATCAAAATATTGCCATCTTGTGTTTATAGTGTTGGGTAATAGAAAGGGACTCGTACACTTAAATCCTCCTAGCTTTCCAGAGTGCATGGAGCAAGGCAAAAATGAAGTACCTAGGATACCTTTCACAGCTGTTGTTCTGTTCCTTTGTACCCATTTCTCCCCTTTCTTACAAGAATCTCATACCCTGCTGTGTGACTGAAAACCCTGCTCGGGGTCTACGTACCTCTGGCATTTCTTTGTGATGCTCTCAAATAAGGCCTGCCTTTACTGGGAGCACCAGAAGATCCAAGGAAGGTTCCTAGTAGATGTGCAGCATCTCACTGGATGCATTTTAGCGGCGTTATGTTTTAAACACCCAACTGCCAATGGTTCATGAGGGGAAGAATAAAAAAGCTGAATATAAACTGATCTGATGTAGAATGCTTGCTAGTAACGTAAACAATCTAATATTTTCCTGTACAGGGACACAATGCTGATATTCGAAGAGCTGTCTGATATCTTCTCAGAGCATGACAATTATTTGACAAGCAGGGAGCTGCTGATGAAGGTGAGAATTAGCTTGAGTTGCAAGGCTTGTGATCTCGATCAAAGCTGAGGTTAGCCCTTTTTCTAATCCTTTGCCAAAGTTCATCTCCCCCTGAGCTACTCAGAGGGGATTTCATCGCTCCTGAAAGACCCTAGTGTTAGCCTGTTGATCTCCGATATCCACACAGAGCAGGCTGCAGCAGCACAGCTTCTGTGTGGACGTGTTCACAAGAGCAGGTCAAGACCCCTTGGAGCCCCTAAAGTTGAACGTCACACTGCTCTAGCTAGGTAACTGGTAACGCTGTCTTGGGCATAGTGACACCTGGCTCAGGGATAGTTATGTGTGCTGTGTCATACCTGTGACAGCACTGGAGCCACAGCCAGAGCGAAGAGGGGCTCCACAGTGAATTTTACTGAGATAAGTTACAAATTAGCACTTTGGCATTAAAGCACTAGCTTGTGCGCCCTCTGAGCAGACCTGGAAAGGCTCAGGTTTGCACCGATGAGTGTAGAGCTGCTTCAAACAAGAATCTCAACTGGGTCGCACCACTGTAGTGCTTTTGACTTCCCTGGAACAATGCCACTTAGCTTCTACTGAGGAATTAAACTAAGATGTTTACCCAATTCTCCCGTACCTTTCTTGGAAGTAGAAAACAGGGCTGGGAATTTCGAAGGAACAGGCTTCCTGCTCTGTGTGTGGCCAGCTGGACAACAAAGCAGGCTCTGTCTGAAACAGTTTGACTTGTGCGCTCTCCTGGGTGAACCCTAACAAACTCAGGAGCTTGAAAGAATAGCAGGGAAAGGTCATATTCTGTGGAAACTAAAGAATGTTTGTGGCAGCTTTTTCTGTTTACATATAACAGTTTCTATAAACTGGCTAACCAGTTTACTTTTTGGCAGTTCTGCCCTGTCAGTCTGGTGTTTGTGCCTTAGCCCCTCGCCTTGGTAGCTGAAACACTGTGTTTTGCTCCAGAATGATGACACTCAAACTTGTCAGTCTGTTTTGTTTATCATCCGTGTATTAACAACTGTAGCTAAATTTTAAAGAAGGTGAGGCAATAATAAGCATAGAGAGAAAATGTGTGTTCAGAACAGCTTATTTTACTAGATATTAAAAAGACAAAACAACTCAATCTGAGCCTAGACCTTCTGGCTCCCAGCAAATCACTCTCTCCAGCTGCTCTGAGTAGATTTGGAAAACATTTTGAAAGCAGAGAGAGGAGAAAAATTCCACAGAACAGCTAGAACCTCTCTTCTACTTCTCGTCTTGGATCCTTTTGTAATGTTTTGTAACAGCTGGAGGATTAATGCCCACTGAATTCTTAAAGTCTTTGTTTTCTTTCACTATAAATAGTCTCTCTGGGGAAGCAGTGTTTGACCTTGCCTATCCATCCTGCAAATTTAAGTGTAGAGCAGACAAAACGCTGTATGAAACAGGTTGGAGAGGGAGCACCATGTTCCCTCCTCCCCAGACAGCGGCTCTGCTGCGAGCTGCAGTTTTAGCCTCTGTGCCTGCCCTCCGGCTGCTGTTAAAGAATCTCAAGTTTACCTTCCAGTGTCTTGAAGGCACTGAGACAATGCTTCTTTTTCATTGCTCCTGTTTTTCAGCCGAGGAAGGAAATAGAGCTTGAGGGATCAGTTCATTAAGTGTGGCTGAGAGAAGTAAAGGATGTAATGAGAGGATCTTCACAAGTGCAGACTGCTGGTTTGTGCCTCTTAAAAAGATACTGATGATTCATGCCCCATCTATGTGACCGCTGGAAAAAATAACAGTAACTCCCAGCATCCCAGGGAAATGGATCCAGGGAAATAAAGGCTACAGATCTGTTGTGAAATAGTTCATCCTTTCATAGGAAAGCTTGAATTGTGGAGATGGAAACCTACTACTTCCATTTCCTACATGGTTGTGGATTAGTCAATAAGCCACAGAGGGTGGTTGCTGGATTTCTACATTGCAGCATAAGAAAAACAACAAAATGTTACATAAGATGAGATGCTTACTCGTAGCAGTCCTGATTAGGAAATGAAACAGAAATCCTGAGGTCAGAGTGTCAGAATAAGAGTTCAGAGAAGCGTCGGGGCACCTGAAGTATATCTAAGCTTCTCTGACTTAAACTCTCAGGAGATTTTGATCAGCACTTAGCTTTGGCCAGAGTAGAGCCGTTTTGCTGAAAAAATCTCTTACAGTCATCTTGCGGGATTTTGTCCAAAATTCCCAATCAGTGTGCGAGTCCCGGAAAATCAGCACTTGTATGTGTGCAGGCACATACCTGCACGGCAACTATTTTTGGTGGTCTAGCTTGCCTGGTTAAATGTATTTCCCATTATTTAGCACAGCCCTAGTTGCCAGCTCACCACTTAGCTCCTCCATTAATTGCCTTTTAATTCCCTTATAGGAAGGTACATCCAAATTTGCGAATCTGGACAGCAGTGTGAAAGAAAATCAGAAAAGGACCCAGAGACAACTGCAAACTCAAAAAGATATGGTGTGTTTGGTGTCCTTTTCCTACCCTTTTTGAATTGGTGACATGACCATCTGTAATCGGTGAATTATATAAGAAGCAAAATCTAGAAAGGTGTTTCACAAATCGAGGGCACAGTAGGTAGTGCTCTTGAATGTGCCCTTTGTCAAGAAAAACAATTGCATCAATGCTATTGATTAGCTGATACAAAGCAAGTGAACCGAAAGGTTTAGACTGAATATGCAATCAGAATGTTTGTCCCTGTAAATACATGCCCAAAGCTGTATTTCTCTTATGCTGTGGATCATAGTAAGCAGGTGGTAATAGGTGTGTGTGTGTATATAGAATGCATATATACATACGCACACGATCACACACAAGCATACATCTGTATATATAAACAATTTCAAAGTGGAATTCGTGCTGCACCCAGCACATGGCCTTTCAAGTCTTCTTTCAGCAATTTATTGAAGCTGTCATATAAAAGAGTAATAAATGATGGATGAGTATAAACATGTCCTACAAGAAAGAATCCCATTAACTGCTCTTGCTACCCTTTAGAGCAAAACATGGGGAAAGCCCCACAGTTTTCATGTAGTAAAAAACATAATATAAGTACTGGAATTCTTGTGATGAAGCAAATTAGCTCTGGCCAGAGCAGAAATCTCATTTAAACAAGCTCATGAAACTTCTGGCATACCAGCTTGATTACAGAGATTGCTTTGTAAAGTGTGTCCAGTTTCCAGTCTGCTGGTGAAACCGGTTTTTGTCTCCAAGTTGGCAGAGATTTAACACGACAGGGGAGAGAGATCTGGGATATGGAAGCAAAAGTGTGCTAAATACAATTTTTTGTTTGTTTGTTTGTTTGTTTGACTGGAAAAAATATGAATCCTTTTGGATGGTGGAAAAAAGCATTTCCCTCACAATTGTAAAAACAACCTGAACTCTACAACTTCTAGCAGTCTAGAAAGTTTAAAATGTGAATAATTACTACTAAAATGCAGTGAAAGGCTGGAGAAAATGGTCACTTTTTGGAGGAAGAAACCCTGTGACTTGATTTGACTTGACTGTCACATGGTACAACATCATTAGGGAAAAATCCACTGGAATGAAGCCAAGAGAGAAACTGCTCACAACGGCTGGGCAGGACCAGTCCCACGTCCTTCTCTTACAGCTGGAACCAAGGGACCCCATCCCTGCTGCTCAATGCTTCTTCCATGAGCCAGGTTTCCTGATGACCCACTTCTAGAAATCAGTGTACAGTGGCAATATTGCGACTGAAAACCACTCGGCAATATCTGTGACAGCATCCCACTTTATTAGAATTTGATTTAAATTCTAGATTAGATACGAAGGATGACGTCATGAAAGGAAACTTCATTTACAAGACCACTGTTTGGTTAAGCAGACTGCTTTTATTTCATTTTCTCATACAGGAGTATTCTAGCATTCTAATTATTACCATTTCTCAGTCAATTAATCCAACATTCTTCTGATCGTTTGCAGGGAGTAATGCAAGGCACGGTACCTTATCTTGGTACCTTCCTGACTGATCTCATTATGCTTCACACAGCCCATCAGGACTATATCGAGGTAATTTGGGGCAGTTTTTTGAATCCTAAATATCTTCAAAAAATATTTTTTGTTTTTATAAAAGAGAAATCAATATGGCGTTTTATTCGGAACAAGAATCTTGTGTGAATTTGAGAGACAAACTTAGCATTGTATTTACTCATTTTTTCTTAGGTTAGAAAACATGAAGAAAGTAGGCTGTCCATTATTCTGTTTTATATTTCTGGAAACAACATTTTTGGTGTAAAGACTTCTGTGATTAATTGGTAAAATACACAGAATCCTGAATTCATCTTTTCAGGCTGATCACTGAAGTGCTTCTAGTATTGACTCAAGAAATGTCTGAGCCCTAAAGAGTTTCAAGACTTGCTTTTTAAATTTCTTATTAGCTGAATAATTGGGGAGAATCAATCTTGCATAGGAAGGGTAAAAGGACAGCAAGCGAGTCTGCTTGTTTAACAGAGACTGAGGATGGGGCCAATTTTCACAGGTGTTTGAAAACCTTTGAAACAAAATTGGCTCCGTTACTGGAGCTACTTGAGAAGCCATGCTGCAAGCTCAGCCTTCATTGTGCTGGTATTGATATTTATGACAAGAATGGGCAAATACACTTGCCCCTGGGCTGGCAATGGTTGCGGCTTAGTTTGATTGATTGATTTGCAAACCTGCACTACAGGTTGCTATACATCCATTTGCTTTTGGGCAGTTTCTCTTCTGTCCCTGCTTCGTGTTCAGTTGGCATTTTTGAAAATCCCTGGGAACCCCGCTGAACTAACAGCACAGGCAAAAGGCAAGAGTGTTTCTTGCATGCAAAATCCCACTGGCGTTCCCCAGACCTGATCTTGCCGCAGCTTTTACGAGCCTTCTTGTATTGGGCTTTTCCTCTTGGGCAGTTTGCCATTTAGACCATGAGGACAGATATCCTTTGGAGACTTGACTATGTAAGTGCTGTGGTTTATACTAGATCTGGAAAGAGGTATTTTTAGAAGGTCCTTGCTCAGGGCAGGTCTGTGCTTTCCATTAGCCTTGCTACTTCATCCTGTTTGTGAGGAAATTCACCTGAGCATGTGCTCTTCTACTCTGATCCCTTCTCTTTTCTTCCCACAGGGCGGCCTGATAAATTTTGAGAAGAGGCGAAAGGTAAGTTGACTGTTCTGGGATTTTTAGTTTACTGATGCCCTCTTCTAGAGCATTCTCTTGCCCAGACCATTTGTATTTGCTCTGACACATACAACAGCCAGTAATTTTAATTCCAGTTCATGAGGAAAGAATAGATCCCTGAAATGGCTGTGAGCCTCTGCCAAGCTGTGAGGGGTGACACAGGAAGGGATCTTGCTTTTTAGATGGGGACAACAGGGTAAGAGGAGCTGCAGGTCACTGACTTGCATGGGATTTACATCCGGGTCACAGAATCACACAGAATCGCAGAATATTA